TTTCTGACTTGCCTCTGCCCTGAGTCTACAGGATTTGTTGGCTTGAAAACAAATATTTTAGTTAATTTCTCAATGGAACGTGGTGCTATCTGGCCATTTGGATGGTGTGAATTTAGGCTCCTCACCGGTGCTTACTGTTCAGGATCTTAAGGTTAACTAGGCCAGTAACATTTAGTCCTTTTCTTAAAGTCTGTTAAGGTATGGTCAGATTTGGAGCTACCGTTTTATCATTTGATTGCTGCTTGTCTCTTCTGGCTTTTGACTGTCCTTCCTATTTTACTGCCTTTTGGATTATTTGAATATTTTTTAGAATTCCGTTTTACCTACTGTCTTCTTAATGACGCATTGTTTCTGTTTTATCTTTGTTCTAGGGATATCAGTATGCAAGAATATGCAATATCCTTAAACTTCACGGTCTACTTAGAGTTAATCTTGTACCTCTTCACATAAAACATAGATACATTTCCATTTCCCTCCCCCTCCACCTCCTCCTTTAAGGCAGGGTTTCTCAACCTGGGTACGATGACATTTTGCTGTGGGAGCCATCCTGTGCTTACAGGATGTTTAGCAGCATCCCTGTCCTATACCCACTAGAGGCCAGCAACACCCCCTCAGTTGACACAATGTCTGCAGACGTTGCCAAATGTCCAGTGGGGGCAAAATAATCCCTGGTTGAGAACCCCTGCTTTAGGGTACAGATGTCCTCTGGGTTACATCTGCCTTTGTTTTAAACATAGGGTCAACGTTGGAATGTTTTTGGGGTTTTTTTTGTTGTTTTTTTTTTTAATTTTTTTTTTCAACGTTTATTTATTTTGGGGACAGAGAGAGACAGAGCATGAACGGGGGAGGGGCAGAGAGAGAGGGAGACACAGAATCGGAAACAGGCTCCAGGCTCTGAGCCATCAGCCCAGAGCCCGACGCGGGGCTCGAACTCACGGACCGCAAGATCGTGACCTGGCTGAAGTCAGACGCTTAACCGACTGCGCCACCCAGGCGCCCCAACGTTGGAATGTTTTAAGTAGTCTTATGTATTTTATTTTAACGAGAGAAAATAATTGTATATTTCTCTTATTTACCATTTCCAGGGCTCTTCATTCTTTTCTAAAGAATTGAATTTCTCCCTGGGATTGTTTCCTTTCAGCTGGAAGAACTTGCTTTAGCATTCCCTGTAGTGCAGGTCTGCTGGCAATGATTGGTTTTCTTGTATCTGAAAAGGTCTTATGGAGCCTTCGTGTTGAGTTGACAGCTACACCTGAGCTGTAATGGACACTCAACTATAGTGGCTTCAGCTGGACTGTGTTTGAAAAAAGACAAAAATGCAGCTTGTATGGGGGAACCTTGTGTTTAACTGCATTTCTTCAGTGTGCCTGGATGCCATACTGCCTTTGTCGAATGGCTTTTTAATTCTCTTCACACTCGTTCATAGTATTCACCTAGTGTCTCTGGAGTGGCTGTTGATTGCCAGGCACTATTCTAGGTTCTGGGGACGTGTTCAGGAGCAGCCCGTTCCTTCCCTTGTGGCCCTTACATTTTAATGGAAAGAGGCACAAGACAGGCAGATAAATATTTGAACAAGAGTCTGTAAAGGTCAGAAGTATGAGTAAAATACAGCAGAGTGAGTGAAGCGGTGCAGCTGCTGTCTTAGATAGGCTGCTCGGGAGAGGCCTCGGAGCTGACTGGGAAGGGACCAGCTGTGCTGAGGGAAAAGCATCCCACACAGAGGGAAGGACGAGGATAGCAGCCCAGAGCATAACACAGGAAGACCCTGGAGGTAGGAAGGGACGTGATTATAATTGCCAACAATGCTCTAAGCACTTTACCTCCTCAGTCCCTTTAAACCTCATGATAACCTTGTCACCTCCATGACATCAAGTAGTAGTGGTGACGGCAAAGAAACACTGAGGCACCTGGCTCAAGATCAGTGGGGGGCCTGGGTGGCTCAGTCGTTTAAGCGCCCAGCTTTAGCGCAAGTCCTGATCTCACGGCTCGTGAACTCTAGCCCCGCATCGGGCTCTCTGCTGTCCACACAGAGCACCCTTCAGATCCTCTGTCCCCCTCTCTCTGCCCCTCCCCTGCTTACACTGTCTCTCAAAAATAAACATTTTTTTATTTTAAAAAAAAAAAAAAAATCAGTGTGGGGGTTGGCTAGGAGTTGTACCTAGATAGCCTGGACTCCAAAGGCTGCCTGCCGCCTGCCTGCCTGACCACATCTAGAACCGCCTCCAGGAAGCAGATTGTGTTTTTAAGTCAGCTCTGTGGACAGAGTATGAGCCTATCTCCTTTTTTTTCCCAGGTGTACAAAAGAGCCAAGGCACTGGACCAGTCTGACAACGACATGTCTGCCGTGTACCGAGCCTATATACACTAAGCCCTCGATACCCCATCCCTGCCCCCCAAGTCTTCCCTCTGGCCCCTCCTCCTCACATGGGGTTGGGGTCCTGGGACTTAGCTCTGGACCAGTCCACCTGTCTCCATCTCCTTTTCTACAGACTTTGAGACTTGCCATCAGCACAGCACACAGCGTCACCCCTCCCCTGGAGGTCCTGGGGAGGGGAGGGGTGTCAGCAGGATTGGCCTTTGGGAAAGCTCTTGAGCTGGGCACTGGCCCCGGACTAGGTGGCTGTGTGTTCACACACACACACACACACACACACACACACACACACCCCCCCTACACACCACACACTGGCTCTCGCCCCAGGATAGAAGCTGCCCAGAAACTGCTGCCTGGCTTTTTTTTCCTCCTGAGCTTGTCTTATCTCAGACCCTTTCCAGTAGAGGAACTAGAATCAGCAGTGAGAACTGGAAGCCTTCCCACTGCTGCCGTCCCTCAGAGCAAAGAGGCTGTGGTTACGTCCACGTCCCCCCACTGGATCCCCCATGTGAGAGAGAGGCTCTGGGTCAAGATGAGCCAGCACCGACTCCAAACAGAGGGTCCCCATGGGCCCTCCAACCTCAGGTGACCAGCTGATGAGGATTGTCATATTTAAGCTACCAATGTGCAACCAACTCTCCGTAAATGCCTTTGTGAACTGAAAAGAGATTGGCAAAGTTGAGCGAACACAGGGCTCTGGCTCTCCAGGGAGAGCAGCAAATCGCCAGCACGTTAGGTGAGCCTCACAGAAGCCTGCTCTCCTCGCCGCTCTTGAGCACCTGTCCCAGAAGTCACCATCACTGCAGAGCCCTGGGCTGGGATCAGACTTCCTCACTTTGGTGTAGGGGGAGCTCACTCCTCACCAGGCTCTTAGTATTTGGATTTGCATTCCAGCCCTTGGGAAGGGGATCCTGAGGGCCACCAGGGAGGAGCAAAGAGGGAGGAGAGTGGGGTTCCTTCCTGTTTCCGTTATGCTGCAGACTCCACCTGGAGCCACTCTGACTGGGTCCCCTCACAGCAGTCCCATCCTCTCCAACCTGCTCCTGCACATGTTCCCCACCTGCCTACCTTTTCATTCTCCCTTCCTCCTCTTCTTCCCATGGAGACAGTGTTTCTGTCCCTTCTTTGGCCCAAACCCAGCCTGACCAACGATGGCCATTTCTTAGGCTCAGCTCTTGAAACAGGATCGGGTGTCTTCACTTCAGCCAGAAGCATAGCCTTCAATGCTTCCAGGGCCCCAGGGTCTTTTGGGAGGGAAGAGAACTGAACCTGACCCAACCTGAACTAACTGACCCGAAGAGGTAGATCTAAGACATCTTTGAGACCCTAACGTTTCTCCTTGGATAGGGGACCAGAGGGACTTACGATGTGGTGTAAAAACAAGGAGAAGTCACCCAAAGGATGTCCATGTTCTCTCCCTCTATATGGGTTGAATTTTCCAAAGTTATACTTTGCAGGTCAGCATTTCTAGTGAATATGTATAATGAGGAGACCACACTGGTGTGGACCCCTCCCCCTCACAAATTTGGCCCTTTTCCACTGATAGAACCCAGGCTAGGGGATCTCAGAAGACATAGGGGGGAGGGCAGGGAAGATGCCTGCGGGTTTTTGGCATAATTTCACTGGGATTTGGAATTCTTTTCTGTCTGAACACAAAGCCTGTTCTAGTCCTAGCCGGACACTCGGGGTTGGGGGTGGGAGGGTGGGGGTGGGGGAAGATGCTGTAATGAAACTGGTTAGTCAATGTTGTCTTAATATTGTTGACAATTCTGTAAAGTTTCTTTTTATGACTATTTCTGTTTAAGCTATTTCACCTTTGTTTTGAAATCCTTCCCTTTTAGAAGAAAATGTGACACTTGTGAAAAAGCTTGTAAGAAAGCCCCTCTTCCACCATCCCTTTTTTTTCCCCTTTAAACCTACTTTAAATGACAAATCTTCTAGGTAATTAAGGTTGTGAATTTTTATTTTTGCTTTGTTTTTAATGAGCATTTGTCTTTCAGAATAGGATTGTGTGATGTTTAAATGGCAAAAACAAAACATGATTTTGTGCAATTAACAAAAAAAGCTACTGCAAGCAAAATAAAACGTTTCTTGGTAACACAACTGTGACTGATTACCTCGGCAGTGGCCTGTGCCCAGACCCAGAGCGCTGTGTGGTGGAGGGAGGAGGGCCGGGAGCGCAAGAACGGCCCCGCAGCCCTCGCTCCGGGACTGCGCCGGGACTGCCTGGTCATCCGGCTGGTTCCTCCTGGACCAACGGAACTCGCGAACTCCGCGGGAGGAGGGCGAGGCAGAGCAGGAACAGGCTGCCACGCCGGCCAATCGCCGGGCGCGGCGAGAGCAAACCATCCCTCTGGCCAATCAATGTGCGCAAGCGGAGCAGGGCGCCCTATCAGGGCCGGGGAGGGGCGGGGCAAGCGGCCGAAGAGCTCCAGCGGCAGAAGGCGGTGGACACGGCGCCCGAGCGCAGAGCGCTCGCGGTGGGTGCCAGCGGCAGCCTGGGAGAGCCGGAGCAGGCGGGTTCGCGCAGCCTCCAGCCTCGATTCGGAGCGCGGCTCGGCCGGTCGGCGGCGGGAGAGGAGGTCCGGGGGCGGGGCGGACGCGCGTGCCGCCAATCGGCAGCGGGGGTGGGCCCGGGTGCTGCTAGCGCACTGACGGCCGGTGTACCGAGCCTCGAGCTGACGGCGGGTGCCTGACGGTCGCTGGGCGGCGAGCGGCGGCGATGGCGACCGCGATGGCAGCGACGGCGGCGGAGCGAGCGGTGTTGGTGAGGCGCGCGGCCAGGGCAGGGTGGAGCCGGGGGCGGTGGGCCCGGGAGGCTGACAGTCGGCCTGTGCCCGCAGGAAGAGGAGTTCCGCTGGCTGCTGCACGACGAGGTGCACGCCGTCCTCAGGCAGCTGCAAGACATCCTCAAGGTAAGGCGCCTGGCGGGCCGGCCCAGCAGCGGCTCTTTCCCGGGCCGATGCCCCTGCCTCCCGAGCGCCTGCTGTGGGCGCGATGCGCGGTGTGCAGACCAGGCCCTGCCTCGGAGGACTGGGAGTCCAGTCGGGGTACCAACACATGATTGTCCACTTAATCACAGGCAGCTGTGTGAGCGCAGTGCGTTGGGCGTGGAATGAGCTCCCGGGCAGGGAGTCGGGGTCAAGGAAGGCTTCCATTGAAGCTGTTATCTCAAGGTCTCCAGCATCATACTCAACATCTGGGGGGCTCCCTTTCGCAAAAAGATTGCAGTACCCGCCTCACAGGGCTATTGTGAAATAAGTCCACTCACAGAAATGTCCAGACATTGCCTGGTAGGGCAGAAATTGCGAGTTGTCATGACTACTAACATTTTCTCACTCTGTCCCCACACCCAAGCGTCTTTTTTTCCCCCCCCTTTTTTTTTAAATTTACATCCAAGTTAGCATATAGTGCAACAATAATTTCAGGAGTAGATTCCTTAATGCCCCTTACCCATTTAGCCCATCCCCCCTCCCACAACCCCTCCAGTAACCCTCTGTTTATTCTACATATTTATGAGTCTCTTATGCTTTGTCCCCCTCCCTGTTTTTATATTAGTTTTGTTTTCCTTCCCTTATGTTTATCTGTTTTGTCTCTTAAAGTCCTCATATGAGTGAAGTCATATGATATTTGTCTTTCTCTGACTAATTTCACTTAGCATAATACCCTCCAACCCAAGCATCTTAACCAAGCCAGGAGGCCATCTCTCTGTTCTATATCCTGGAGTTGGGCTTGAGGCAGGTTTCTGGGGAATGTGGAAGGAACAGCTATCCATCCACTCTGGTAGGACCTGAAACCCAGGTGAGGGCGGAAAGGCCTGAGAAATGGGAAGGTGCCCTGGAGGCTTGGATAAGGTGCTCCGGTGAGACCAACCCACTTGACCCTCCCCTGGCCAACCTAGGAAATGGGGCTTCTGGAAAGACCCTTGAACTGGATTGGATGAACTTTACCCTAATCCCCTCTGCCCTTCCAGGAGGCCTCTCTCCGCTTCACTCTGCCCTGCTCTGGCACCGGCACGGAGGGTCCTGCCAAGCAGGAGAACTTCATCCTTGGCAGCTGTAGGTGAGCAGGGGCTGAGCAGAAATGAGGCCGATGAAGCTGCTTGTGAGGGGGACACCTGGGATCCCTCCAGGAGAGGCTGCACAGCCAAGGCCCAGCGGGCCATCCTGGGACAGCCAGGGGCAAGCTGCCGGGAGGGCCAGGTGGTGGGAGAGGGCAGCCACAGGCACTGCTCTGACCCCCACGTGTTGCAGCACAGACCAGGTGAAAGGCGTGCTGACTCTGCAAGGGGACGCGCTGAGCCAGGCGGTGAGTCCCCCAGCCCCTCTCCCCTTTCTCTGTGTCTGGAGGATCCCGCGGGAAAGAGTATGGGAGCCTCCTGCTGGCTCTGCCACCAGTTGGCTGTGTGACCCTGGGCAGGATCCTTGACCTCTCTGGGCCTCAGTTTTCTCCCTTGTAAAATACTCCCCCCACCCCCCAGCAGCCTCCTCATGGAATTGGCATGTGGCTTCTGTGTGAGGTGCCGAAGGGAGATGTTTGCACACGGCCCAGCCCTGAGTCTGGGCCCAGTGAAGCGTGGGCAGCAGCGGGATTAAGCTGGCCCCAATTCAAAGTGAAATCGGCCAGCATCTGAGCTCCGTTGGTGCCAGGCACCAAGATGTGGGGGAAGGTGCCTCTCCTCCAGTAGTGGGTGGGTGCTCAGTCCATTGGCCTGTACCCGTGTTCCCTTTTGCCCACAGTCACAGCTCCTCCTGGCTGAGGCCACCTTCCCCTTTCTGTTTTCCCTTTCATTTCTTTGTGGTTCCTCTTGGGCCCGAGTTCCTGTTTCCTGACCTCCTTGTTCACACTCCAAATGGCCACTGTGCTGGGAGACCTTCTGCCCTGTGGAATGACAGGGGCCCGAACCACCCCACACACCCCATTTCTGGCCCCCTGCTCAAGGGCTCAGGGTGGCCAAAAGCAGGAGGGTGTCATCCTTCTGCTTATCCACTCTTGCCCGTCAGGATGTGAACCTGAAGATACCCCGGAACAACCAGCTGCTGCACTTCGCCTTCCGAGAAGACAAGCAGTGGAAGCTGCTGCAGGTAGTTGGGCCCTTCCCCTACTGGGGCTCAGGCCACAAGGGCAGGCAGGGGCAGGCCTGAGAGGCACTGAGGGCTCCCGGCTGGCCATGGGGATTTGAAGCTGGAGCAAGCCTGGAAGGGTGTTTCCTAGTAGCAGAGCTGGGGCAGGCAGTGCCTGGGGCTCCAGAGCCTAGCCTTGAAGGAGGTGGAAAACCTGTCTGTAGGCCCCTGGGCCCCAGCAGGAACCACTGGGGTCCTCTGGAGCCAGGAACTCCCCTTCCCAGAGCCTCCAGGGGGCTTCTGATGGCTCCTGGAGACAGAGTCCATGTTCCCTACAAGCTCCTGTGTGATTGGTTGATCCAAGCCCCTTCCCCTCTCTCTGGACACCAGCTGGTCTCCACCTCAGGGCCTTTGCCCATGCTCGGCTCTCTGCTTTTCTTGTCATTTGGGTGATCCTCAAGAATCACTTCCCTGGGGCCTCCCTTGACCTCCATCCATCAAAAGAGGCTCCCCCTCCCCCATCCTGCAGAGTCACCCTCTTTCCTTGTGCAAGTCAGTCTTTTTATCTTAGGCCTTTACTCTGCGATCACCTGCCCTCCTTTAGAAGGTGAGCTATGTGACAGCAGGCCTGCCACAGTCTTGCCATGTGCCCAACACCCAGCCAGGACCTGGCATTCAGAGGACACGGAGCTGGGAGCTGGTGGGGAGAGGGCAGGCAGGCGGTTCCCACCCCACCCCTCCAAGGAGAATGGCCCCTCATCGTGATGACTGGGGCAGGAACTGCCCACTGAGAGATGAAGTTGGCATCTCTTCCTCTTGAGGCCCAGCCCACTGACCTCTCGATGGGCACTGTTTTCAGATCCAGGATGCCAGGAACCATGTAAGCCAAGCCATTTACCTCCTTGCCAACCGGGATGAAAGCTACCAGTTCAGGACAGGAGCAGAGGTCCTCAAGGTGAGCAGCCAGAAGGGACAGGAGAACTAGGTTCCCAACCCCTGGCCCTGACCAGGCCCCTGGAGAATTCTGCCCCCACATCCTCAGGCACAGCTGATGGCCCACCCATCACCTCTCAACGCACACATGTCCATCCACCTACAGTCAAATGATTTATATCCCAGGTTCCAGACTCAGATTGAGATTCTGATTCTAGGGCCTCCGCTGTAAGCTGTGCAACCTCAGGTTACTTTCTTAGTCATTCTATGCCTCAATAGCCTCACCTATAGAGGGGGGACTCACTGCAGTGACGACCAGTTGTGATGATGCAGGTAAAGTAGCCTCTAGCAAATGCTCAGGAAGTGCTCAGCTACTACTAGTAGATGCTAGTAGTCACATGACTAGCACTAGAGGAACTCTTACAATTGGCAAAGGGAATCCACATGGTTTGCAGGGATCAGCTGCGCTCATATGCCCCAAACTCATGCTTAAACTCTGTCCCTGATTTGCTATGTGTCTTCAGGTGATTCACTTTCCTTCTTTGGACCTCTGAGTCCTCATATGAAAACTTACAACTAATGGCCTGAGGTCCCTCCCAGAACTGTGACCACCCTGGGGACAGGGGGTGTAGTCCCCATGCCTCCACCCAGATTTGCCTTTCCTGGAAGCAAGGTCACCCCCATGCCCATGGCAATATCTGGAAGCAGTGGAAGTTGGGGCTCTGAGGAGTCCAAGCAAGAGTTTTAGTCATGGCAAAGGAAAAGGATGAGTTCCAGATGGTTCCACTGTTCACTAGCCATGTGACCTTAGCACTTGGGAGCTTCTCTTTTCTCAACTGTGAAAATGGGGCTGGTACCCCAGGCTAAGACCTGAACCTAGCCATGCCATCACCGTCCCTGGCTCCTTGCACCCAAGCTGGATTCAGGCCCCTTCTTCTAAGCTCCTTCATTGCCTGTACCCCCATCCACAAAGCCCTCATGCCCCTGAGACTGACCCTCAGGATCTCCCATGTTCCATTCCCCACTGGACCAGCACCCAGGATCCCATGCAGTAGAACCTGCTGGATAGGTGGTCACCACTGCAGACGTCCTACCCCCACCCTCAGCTGGAACCCCAGTACCTGCACCTTTAACAAGCCCCACACAGCAGGGATTCAGGCCTTGAGACCGTGAGCACCCAGGGCAGGAGCTGGGAGCTTCCATGACTTTGTCACACTCTGATGTGGGAGGGCAGGGGCTGCCCTCGAAGCAGCTCTGACCAGCCCCCTGCCCACAGCTGATGGACGCCGTGATGCTGCAGCTGACCAGAGCCCGCAACCGGCTCACCACCCCGGCTACCCTTACTCTGCCTGAGATCGCTGCCAGTGGCCTCACGGTCAGTACCTTAGTCCAGCCCCTGCTCCAGGAGAGGGAATCCCCACTGAGGAGCCCAGCTTGCCCCTGGGAGGGACACGGGTGTGAAGGGGCCCTGGAAACCCCGAACTGCTGTCCGAGTCCTCTGTCTATGCAGTTTTCTGGGACAAGGTCCTTGGTTTCCACCCTGCGTCCCCCAAATGCTCCTAGTCTGCATCAGTGCTTCTCAAGCCTGGTGCAGAAAGCCACCCAGGACACCTCGGAAAAGTCTAGAAGCCCCAGTGCCTGGGTTGGGGAATGGGGTTGCCCAGGTGGTTCTGGGAGGCCTGCGCCTGCGCGACCCTCATCCGACCTGCTTGCCCGGTGCTCGTCCCCAGCGGATGTTCGCCCCTGCCCTGCCCTCTGACCTACTAGTCAATGTGTACATCAACCTCAACAAGCTCTGTCTCACCGTGTACCAGCTGCACGCCCTGCAGCCCAACTCCACCAAGGTGAGGGAACCCCACCCGCCCCCACGTGCCTGGCAGCCTCCAGGGCCTGACCAGCCTCCAGGGCCTGACCGGGTCTGGTCCCCTTCTTTCCTAGAACTTCCGCCCAGCTGGAGGCGCCGTGCTCCACAGCCCTGGGGCCATGTTGTAAGTATGCTGCTGGGGAGCACCCTGCCCTCCCCAACCCTTTGCACCTTGGAGCCTGGGGGGCCAGGCTGGTCAGCACCCCCCACCCAGGGGAGACCCTCCCCTCTCCCCACAGCGAGTGGGGCTCCCAGCGTCTGGAGGTGAGCCATGTGCACAAGGTGGAGTGTGTGATCCCATGGCTCAACGATGCCCTAGTCTTCTTCACAGTCTCCCTGCAGCTCTGCCAGCAGCTCAAGGATAAGGTGGGCCACGGGGGACTGTGGGGTCAGGGTGGGCCTCCCTCTCAGACACATTGGGCCAGCCAGGTGGCAGGCTGCTAAGCCTTTTCATCTTGGGGGGATCCCAAGGGCTCTGGTCATACCTCCAAAACACCCCCAAATCTCCATCGTACCCTCCACACACACCCAGCAGATGGGCCATGACGTTGCTGAGCAACAGTACCGTCTCCCTGACAAACTGCCCTTGGATGACCTTGAAATCTCACTCGGGTCACAGGGTACAGCAAGGGAGGCTCCCTAGCACCAGCACTCACCAGGTCCCCCCACCTCTCTCCCTCTCCAGATCTCCGTGTTCTCCAGCTACTGGAGCTACAGGCCTTTCTGAACAGAACCCCCAAGAGTCTGTCCACCTGGGAATTGGCCCTTGTCCCTCTCGGAGTGTTGGCCAGAGCCGGGCAGCATGGGCTATTTATTTTCGTCTTTACCCCATCCTGCCCATCATATTTGCACAGATGGAAATGAACACTGGAATCACTGAAAAGAAGGGACGAAGGCTTGCTTTTCATTTTGCGGAGGGGGGTGGTCAGGAAGGCGGAGCAGAGATGTGGCCCACATTCCAAACCCTCCCTCCCTGCAGGCGGAAACCTTTGGACTCTGGGTGGGGCCAACCCCAGGGCTCTCCTTCCGCCTCCTTTTTCTGCTTGCTGAGCTGACCTTGGATGGTGAAGGGTAGCCATGCACACCCCCTCCATGGAGGGTGAGGAGTGGGTGGCGACCCTAAGCTGTGAGTTAGGAGAGCAGACAGAAGCCACCCACCGTGAGCTATGGTGTCCGAGAATGCGTTTGCTCAGCATCCCTGACAAGGCCTCTAGGAAATAAAGATCACCCCACTTTACCTGGAGCGTCTGTCTGTCTGAGTGAGGACCACGCTGGGGATCCCTGATACTCAGGACCTGAGTGGGGTACCCAGTGACTGAGCCCTTGGCCTCCCCACACCACCTTTGAGGGGGTCCTCCGGGCTGCCACAGGGCTGAGTGGGATGGGAACAAGGGTTCTTCCTGGGGGTTCCGGCCCCTGAGTTGGGCCCCAGCTTCCCCTCCCATGGGCAGTTGCTGGTGATTCAGGGTCTGGTGGCCGTCGTGTAGGCTGAAAGCTGTGAGGGAGCAGGTGGGCATCTGGATAAAGCACTGAGTTCCCACACTGCCCACCCCTTGACGGGAGGCTCAGAACACACTCCAGACTCAGGTTCTGGACAAACAAGGCATTGTTCCTGTTGCCCAGCAGGACACACGGGCAGAGGGGCTGGGGGGCTCGGTGTGTTAAGGTTCCAGGGCCAAGTTATCCACACCCCTGCGGTGTTCCTACAAGAGAGGCACAGGAATCAGCTGGGCTTCACTCATGTGTCCCCTGCCTGCCCCCTGTCCACAGGAGGCCCAGCACCCTCGTCTCCCCAGTGCACTTCCAGGCTGCCCCTCGCACCTGCCCAGCCCAGGAGGCCAGTGGGGCTCACCTGATGGGGGCTCACCTTCTGGGATCTGGAGGTGCGGCGGCTGCAGCAGCTATAGCAGCAGCAGTGGATGCAAACAAGCAGCAGCAGCAGCAACACAGTGCCTGGGGTGGGGGGCGGGGGGTGGTGACAGGTGTCCAGAGAGGGTCCTGGCCACGTCTGGGTCAGGAGGCTTGGCGGGGGGGGGAAAGGCCAAGGCCACGGGCACACTCACCAAGGAAGATGAGAAAGATGATGAAGGCAGCAGTGTCCCACCTGGACTGGAACAGCTGACGGCTCCTCAGTTTCCCCAGCACTTCCTGGGCCGTGGTCTCCAGCTCCTTCTCCAGGTCTTCTGCCAAGGCCATCTCAGCTCCAGCCTTCTGGGTACCACCAGCCCCCAAGGGGCTGCCTCAGAACTCAGTCAGACCTCTCACAGCCCAGCCCCTGCCCTGCCCCTGCTCCTGCCCCTGCCCCCTCCCACGCCAACACCCCCAAACCCCTGCCTGGTCCCCACCCCCCGCCCCCAGCAACTCGGCGCCCAGACTCCTACCAGCCTCCAGGCTCCCCCAGTCAGCCAGTTGCCAGGTCCTGAGAACACAGGCTACTTCCTGCTTCCGGATCCGCAACCCAAGATAGCTGCTACCTGAGGCCTTGGCACCTTGGCAACCAGCCCCACCCTTCCTAGGGGCGGCTAGGCTCCAGGGGGGTGGGGCCTGTGCCCTAACAGGTGTGCTTACAGCTTCCCAACAGGAGCAGGTGCTGCGGGACCCAGGGAGGTAGCCACGGGCCTGTAAGCTTCTTCACTCGGGGATTTTTCACTGTTTTCTCAACAGGCCAGACAGGCAGCCTGGAACACAGTATGGCCTGGGCCTCTGTTGACTTGAGTGAAGAGAGACAGACAGGAGGGAGGGACAGGGAGGGAAAAGTGGTTTCCATTTCCCTCCACTGGGCAGATGGCATGTGCCTGGCACCATACTAGGAGTCTTTGTAGTCCTTGTCTCCTCTATTCTAATCCTCAGCGTGGTCGTTACAAAAAGATGATTATCCTCTCTCAGATGACCTCTTCCCCTGGAACTTGGAGCCTGGGGCCCCGACCCTGTCCAGAAAGGCAGCTCTCACTCTCCCTTCTTTCAGCGCAGACGTGTCCAGGCCCACCAAGGGCCAGACACTGCTCAGCACTTGAGGTTGGTTGGCCGTAAACCAAGTGGACACAATTTCTTAATTCTTGTGGTGCTTGTGGTCTAGCAGGGGAGAACGTGTCAGCTGATGTCAGGCTCCGCACCTAACACCATCCATTCATTTCCTGATTTGTCCTCAGGGCAAGCCTCAACTGGCATCACTGTCCTTTCCACTCACAGATATGAAAGGTGTGGCCTTGAGAAGCTCAGCGACCAGCTCAAGTCACACACCTAAGGTGCTCCTTCTCTGTCGCTGCTGTGACATACGACCACGCACTTCATGGCTTCAAACCATACAAATTTATTGTCTTAGGGTTCTGAAGATCAGAGTCTATAACAGGTCGGCAGGGCTGTGTTTCTTTTGAAGGCTCTAGAGGACCGTCCGTTCCTTGCCTTTTCTGGCTTTCTGGTGGCCACGCCCACTGGTCATGCCAGTCTCTGCCTCCATGCTCATATATCCTCTGGCCCTGACCCGCCTGACCTCTCTGCTACAAAGACCCCTGTGATTACATTGGCCCACAGGATAATCCCACCCTCTGAATCCTTAGTCACATCTGCAAAGTCCCTTTTGCTGAGTAAGTTACCATACTCTCTCAAGGGTCCGGGGATTAGGATGGAAACATCTCTGGGGGCCATGATTCTGTCAGCCATCCCCAGAGTGAGCAGAGAAGCCAGAACTGGGGCCCAGGCATTTAGACCCCAGAGCCCTTCCCCACCACATTCTAGGGTCTCCTGTCCTGGGTCCCCTTCTTCCACCCTACCACCCCTCCGTCCTATTCCAGATCTCAGACGGCTGTTGCAGGAGCAGGGGAGTTTTGAAACAACTAGAGTGTTACTGCATAAGGAAAGAAGGAGGGTGCAGTTTGAGGTAGTTCCTCAAACACCCATGGTGGGGGGGTGGGGGCGGTGCCTGGGTGGCTCAGTCAGTTGAGGATCTGACTGTTGATTTCGGCTCAGGTCACGATCTCACGGTTCATGAGTTCGAGCCCCGAATCAGGCTCTGTGCTGACGGCGTGGGGCCTCCTTGGGATTCTCTGTCTCCCTCTCTCTCTGCCCCTCCCCCTATTGTGAGTTTGCTCTCTCTCTCTCTCTCTAAAACCTAAATAAATCTTAAAAAAGAAAAGTTAAGGGGCATTAAGGAATCTACTCTCGAAATCATTGTTGCACTATATGCTAACTAGCTTGGATGTAGGTTAAAAAAATAAAATTAAAAAATTTTTAAAATTTTTTTAACGTTTATTTATTATTGAGAGACAGGCAGAGCATGAGCATGGGAGGGGCAGAGAGAGGGGGAGACACAGAATCCGAAGCGGGCTCCAGGCTCTGAGCTGTCAGCACAGAGCCCAACACGGGGCTCAAACTCACAAACTGTGAGATCATGACCTGAGCTGAAGTCGGTCGCCCAACCAACTGAGCCACCCAGGCGCCCCAAAATTTAAAAAAATTTAAATAAATAAATAAATAAAAATTAAAAAATAAAAAGTTACACGTGGTGATTGCGTATGGCCTAGCAATTCCGCTCCTAGGTATAGATAGACCCATGAAAATTGAAAACAAGTTCTCAAAGACTTGTACACAAGTGTTCACAGCAGCACTGATCACAAGAGCCAAAAGGTGGAAACCGCCCCAGCGCCTGTCAACCGATGAATGGATGACCACCACCAGGTGATTTGTCCATACAGTGGGATGTCATCCAGCTGCACAAAAGGAAGCAGTGACACCCGCTACAACATGGATGAACCTCCAAAACGTGACGCTCAATGAAGGAGTCCAGACACAAAAGACCACATGGTGTGTAGGTCTGTTTCTGTGAAATGTTCAGAAAAGGCAAATCCATAGAGACAGGAAGTAGTTAGTGGTGGCCAGGGGCTGGGAGAGGGGGGAAGAAGGGGAGTGATTGCTTAGTAGTGATGGGATTTCCTTTGGGGTGATGAACATATCTTGGAAAAGGATGAGGTGGTGGTTTAGCCACATTGTAGGTGTACTAAATAGTGATCTGCCACTTACCTGTTCTCTTTAGAGTGGATAATGGTTAGTTTTATGCAAATTAATTGTATGCAAATTTTACCTAAATTTTGTGTGTATATATATATATATATATATATTTTTTTTTTTTTTTTAAGTAGGCTCTATGCCCAATGTGGGGCTTGACTCACAACCCCAAGACCAAGAGTCACATGCTCTACTGACTGAGCCAGCCAGGTGCCCCTTTACCGCAATTTTATTACTTTGTTAAGAAATTTTTTAAGTTTATTTATTTATTTTGAGAGACAGAACGCAAGAAGGGGTGGGGCAGAGAGAGAGAGAGAGAGAGAGAGAGAAAATCCCAATCAGGCTCTGCAGTCAGCAAGGAGCCCAACATGGGGCTCACACTGACAAAACTGTGAGGTCATGACATGAACCGAAATCAAGAGTTGGACGCTTAACTAACTGAGCCACCCAGGAGCTCCTTTCTACCTCACTTAAAAAAAAAAAAAAAAAAGAGGATGGGGGTCCACAACTGTGGCCCCTGTCCCCCCACCACTTGTCCTGGCTGGGTGGGCAAGAGGCCCTCTGTCGCCTCTGCTCCCCACTGACCCTCAGCCTTCCTGTCCAGACCCCTGGGTGCCTTGTTACTTGTTTTTCATTATGAAAGTAAGACCTTCTAGGGGTGCCTGGGTGGCTCAATCAGTTAAGCATCCAACTCTTGGTTTCAGTTCAGGTCATGATCTCACAGTTTATGAGTTTGAGCCCTGCATCAGGCTCTGCACTGACAGTGCAGAGCCTGCTTGAGATTCTGTCTCTCTCCCTCTCTGTCTCTACCCCTCTCCTGCTCATGCTCTCTAAATAAATAAATAAACTTAAAATAATAATAATAATAATAATAATAATAATAAAGTAAGACTTCCTGATGGCGGGGGGGGGGGGGGGGCAGTTGCTCTTTATTAGGGAAAACCTGGGAAATTCCAACTTGTTAAAAGACAAAACCCAGAGCACCTGGGTGGCTCAGTTGGTTAAGCATCCAAGACTTATCAAAATCTGAGAAATTACCACGTTACTAAAAGACAGAAACCACCTGTAGAGTTCTAAGATGGGAGCAGAGCAGTGATGGGGAGGCCATGCCAAGGCATATTTCAGGTGGGTCAGACCCCCCTCAGACTCAGATCCTGTTCCCAGCCCTTAACACCCACCCGTGTGTGGCCTTGGGGCACAATCCTTGACCTTCTCTGCCTCAGTTTCTTCTTCTGTAAAATGGGTGTATAAATATCATTCCCCTTATTCTTGGGTTAGATTGAATGGAATGATCCATAAAACACTTCCTTAGCACAATGAGGTGTTCTAGAAACATGCACTGAATGGCTATATATTACTCACCCAACTTATGGGTGTGATTCCCTTCAGTCTTCTGTTCTTTGTACACATTTGGACTCATCTGCTGTTCTCACACTGCTCAGATCACTTCACCCTGGGCTTTTCCCAATCAACACAGCCAAGAGCGCCATGCAAGTGACCACTGCTTTCTGCAAGCACGGTCATGACGCTTGTGATCCCAGTGGCTACCCACTGAAGCTCGCTTTTCTTTCTTTTTTTTTTTTTTTTTTCCTCTCCCAGTTGCTCAGAATCCTACTGTCACTCACGTGGGATGGTTTTCCTAGGAAGCAGAATCTCGCGCTCAAGTTCAGTCCACAGGCCACCAGTACTGTTTGGTCATCCATGTACAACGTGCCCATTCGCTTTGATGAGGAGGCCAGCCTCCCATAACCCTTGAGAGCTGTGGACTTGTAGCTTGAGAGATTTCTCTATTGGGAAAGGAACCATGTTCCAGGGCAGGCTTTGTCCAGCCCCATCCAAAGCCTCAAGCCTCAAAGATGAAGTTTAAGCTCTGTCGTGAGATAGATAGAAGGTAGGGAAGCACAAGGGCACAGGCAGAGAGGGACAGAAGGCTAGTTGGGGCTCAGGACAGTTGAGGTGAATGGACTAGGGCAGACTTGGTGAGTTTCAGCAAGCAAAGCAGGGTTGGCAAACCACTTCCTGCTTTTGTAAATAGTTTTACCTACACACAGCCACCCCCTTCACCTGTGTGTGGCTGCTCTCACACTACAACAGCAGGCCTGAAGAGTAGGTGTAATAGAGATATTATGACCCACAAAGCTCAAAATAACTCTTTACTATCTGGCTTTCAGAGAAAATGCTCAGCATCATGAGACAGAGGACTCCTCATGTGCCAGGAAACAGGTGAGAAAGTAGTGAGTGAGATGGATTTGTATAAGAAACATCGTGTCAGGGACACATCGGGGACGGGTGAGGACTGTGGCAAACTGGAGAACTCATGGCCCAGCCAAAGAGGGCAGCTCATCAGCCATCAGAATTGCCAGGGCTTACAATCTCTAAGACACACTGGAAATCTAGATGTTCCCCTGAACAAGAAAAGCATTAGAGGGTACGCACGTGGACTCAGATCCCAACCCACCACTTCCTTACTAGGTGACTTTGCACAACTGGTTCAGACTCTCTGTGACCTGGAGGGAGTAACAGCACTAGCTTGATAGCACTGGGACGATCATGAAACAAGCTGCCGTCCTACAGCCCCAGAACAATGTTATGCACAGACTAAGTGTAGGCTAAATGTTTCCTAAATCAATCTGGCCATTGAAAACACTGTGGCCCCAGCGGTGGACAGACCAAAGAAAACATGGATGTTCTGCTTTCTGGCTGCGGGTTATGGGTTTGCTTTTGCTAGCAGAGTCATGAATTTGGAAGTCAGAGGGACTGGCTGAAGCCCACTTAGCCCAGTTAGGTGACCTTGGGCAAGGGAGCTGCCCAGAGGCCCCGGGTTCCTGTCTATAGCACTAGGCCAGGGTCATTGTAAGGATTTAGGGTAAGTGTTCCAAAAGGACACTGGAAGAGCTTACCTGCCCCTGCCCTCAGCTCCCCGCTGTAGAGGAGGCCCACCCCTTGCCCCTCCCCGTGAAGTCATGGGGCAGGGGATGGAGTTCAGATTCTTCAGTTAACTGTCACCTTGTCTCCTCCCCCCTCACCACACACACCAGCTAGGACAGGGAAGCTCCTTGAAGCTCCGTCAGAGACCCAAGGCCATCAGGTGCTACACAAAGCTGCTTCTCTCTGTCGCCATGGGTCCAGACCCTGGGCTTCACCAGGCTGGCCACATTCTTCTGGGGGGAGTGTCTGAGCAAGGATACTGCCTGGGCCAGGGGTGGGGGTAGGGAGGAAACTGGGGTGGGGGAGGAACAGATTACTGGGCTGGTGTATCTCTGGGAAGGGATTCAGCCTCCTCTGAGAGGCAGCTCCTCCCTGTACTTCACTCCAAAGCCCTCAGGCCCTGGGGCCTTGGGGGATGGGTAGATCAAGGGGTATAATGTGTGGGAGTGCCAGGTGGCAGAGCTCAGGAGCCAGGGTCCAGAAATGAGAACTCAAGAGGGTCCCCCTCCAGAGCCCCAGTAACCCCCTTCTCCCCACCCACCCAGTTGACAGACATTGCTGTGTCCTTGACCCCATGGACCCGCTGAGGCAGTCCACCTCCCCCTGCTCGTCAAGACCCTCCAGCCCCAAGACCCCACCCTGCGAGATGCTTGGTTATGTGGGCATTGAGGCCGTGCTGGACCAACTGAAGATCAAGGCCATGAAGATGGGGTTTGAGTTCAACATCATGGTGGTGGGTGAGTGAGGGGCAGGGGCTCACGGGAGGACAGACCAAAGGATGCAGACTTGTGGGCGTGGGCGCGTTACTTCACCTCTCTGAGCCTCAGTCTCAACAGTGGGTCTGTTAATAGTCCCTCGCCAGATGTCATAGTTTAAAATCTGGAAACACTGAGGCATTAAAAGACAAAAATCATCCATGAAGCCCCAGCCAAACCCAAAGAGAGCAGTAAAAGGGGAGGCCATGGCAGAAAGTGGTGAACACCCAGACCCAGATCCTGATCCGGGCCCTTAACACCAGCCAACGTGTGACCTTGAGCACAGTCCCTGACCCCTCTCTGCCTCAGTTTCCTCACTGGGTTTAGCACTGTCCTGGCGTTCAGGAGGTTCTCTGGAATTGCATTTATATGGGTGCAAAATTGATTCTGTAGGTCAAAACTACACCTTTCACAAAATAAACTGGGTAATAGCAGACTATAAAATGTCAGAGTGGGGAGGCGCCTGGGTGGCGCAGTCGGTTAAGCGTCCGACTTCAGCCAGGTCACGATCTCGCGGTCCGTGAGTTCGAGCCCCGCATCAGGCTCTGGGCTGATGGCTCAGAGCCTGGAGCCTGTTTCCGATTCTGTGTCTCCCTCTCTCTCTGCCCCTCCCACGTTCATGCTCTGTCTCTCTCTGTCCCAAAAATAAATAAACGTTGAAAAAAAAAATTAAAAAAAATAAAAATAAAATGTCAGAGTGGGCAACGCCAATTAAGGGCATTGTTCCAAGGCAGTGCTGTCCAATAGAAGTATAATGTGAGCCACATGATGTCATTGTAAAAATTCCCAGTAGCCACCTTTAAAAAAGGGAAGAGAAACTGGAGAAATTAATTTTAACCATTTATGTTACTTAACTCAGTATGTACTATCTTGAATGACATGTAATCCACACCCAAAAAAAATTGTCCATGAGAACTTTTGCATTCCTGGGGCATCTGGGTGGCACAGTCGGTTAAGTGTCTGACTCTTGATCTTGGCTCAGGTCACGGGCTTACAGTTTGCGAGTTCGAGTCCCAAATCGGGTTCTGCACTGAGGGCGCAGAGCCTGCTTAGGATTCTGTCTCTCCTTCTCTCTGCCCCTCCCCCACTTGTGTGTGCTCTCTTTCTCTCTCAAGGTAAATAAACTTTTTTTGAAAGTTTAAAAAAAAGAACTTTTGCATTCTTTTTGGCACACACCAAGTCTGGAAAATCTGGGTTGTATTTTCCATTGATGGCATACCTCAATTCAGATTTTCCATATCACCCATGGCAGGAGCCAAGTGGGACTCCCATATTGGACAGCACAACCCTTCGGACAATTGTTGTTCAATACAAAAATACGTGTGCACCCTGCATTGTGATATAGGGTGTTCCCTTCTGCAGATGTGGTCCACCGAGTTTGAGAAGCTCCCACGGCAGGGAAAGTGGACCATCTACAACCACAGACAGTTTGGGTCAATCTCACCAAGTAGTGTCAAGCCAAAGAAGCCAGACACGAGAGACCACATGCTGTGTGCTTCCCTAAATCAAGGGTGGGCAGAGCTGCTCCCTGCTGATGGAAGCCCGGAGAGTGGCTGTCCCTGGAGTGTTGGGTTAATAGTTACTGAGATGGGCATGATTGGGCTTGTGGGGAACTATATGCTCCATCTCTGGATCTGGTTCTGTATACATGGGCCATTTAATTTGTAAGATGCATTGAACTGCCCATCAGGGTGAATGGATAAACACAATGTGATCTCTCCATGCAATGGCACATTATTCAGCCATGAAAAAGAATGAAGTATTGACACCTGGTAGGACTTGGATGAACCTTGAAACCATTATGCTTAGTGGAAGCAGCCAGACATGAAAGGACAAATATTGCATGATTCCATTTCTTAAAAAAAAAATTTTTTTTTTAATTTTTTTCAACGTTTATTTATTTTTGGGACAGAGAGAGACAGAGCATGAACAGGGGAGGGGCAGAGAGAGAGGGAGACACAGAATCGGAAACAGGCTCCAGGCTCTGAGCCATCAGCCCAGAGCCCGACGCGGGGCTCGAACTCACGGACCGCGAAATCGCGACCTGGCTGAAGTCGGACGCTCAACCGACTGCGCCACCCAGGCGCCCCTTAAAAAAAATTTTTAATGCATATTCATTTTTGAGAGAGAGAGAGAGAGAATGAGCTGGGGAGGGGCAGAGAGAGAAAGAGACACAGAATCTGGAGCAGGCTCCAGGCTCCGTGCTGTCAGCACAGAACCCAACAAGGGGCTCGAACTCACGCACCGCAAGATCATGACCTGAACCAAAGTCGGACACTTAACCAACTGAGCCACCCAGGTGCCCCATGCATGATTCCATTTCTTTGAAATGTCCAGAGTAGGCAAATCCACAAAGACACAAAAAAATGGATTAGCAGTTGCCAGAGGTGATGATGGAGGGAAAATGGGGAGGGGTTGCTAATGAGTGTGAGGTTTCTTTTGGGGCAATGAGCATGTTTCTTGACGGTTAAAAAAAACAACGTTCAGCCAAGTACATTTGAAGATCTAATTGTGACATGATTCATGAATCAGGCAGCACCTGGTCAGCAGGTAAGAAGTGAGCTCCAAGGAGTTGTGCAGAATGCAAGGTTTCTATATAGAAAGGAGGATGTGAGCAAGGAAGTTATTAGCAAAAGGAAAGGATTATTACAGGCAAGGTTGCTTTCCCTTAGAGGACAGGCAAAGGGTCTTAGGTGGATGACTTCATCTTCCTTTGGGGGACAGTGAGGGCCCATGTGACATGACTCACCAGTGCTGACCAGAAAATCCCTGACGGAGCAGTTTAGGCTACGTTTCCGGGGGAGGTTGGAACTGCAGTTAAGTTAGATATTAGGCACCCATTTGGAGACTTGGCCTAAGTTCTGCCATTTGCGGCCTGTGGATTTCTTTCTAATAGGAGCTACACAGAATTGGTGGGTGCACAACACTGTGAATGTACTAAATGCCACTGAATTGTTCACTTTAAATGGCTAATGGTTAATTTTTTTACTGCATGAATTTTGCCTCAATAAAAATGGGTGGGATAAAGATTGAGGGGGACACTGACAATAGCACCCGCTTTTCAGTATTTATGTTATGCTTAGAAAACAGTTCACTTTCTAAAACTGTTTAACAGCCTGACAAGCACTGCCTAAAATGTCCACCTCTGTTGCTGTCGTCTGGTTACCCCCAGGGCAGAGCGGGCTGGGCAAGTCCACAATGTTGAACACCCTTTTCAAGTCCAAGTTGTGGAAGTGCACCCTGCCGGGCCTGGCGATGCCCACACCCCAGACGCTGCAGCTGAAGTCAGTGACCCATGGTGAGTGGTCCCCCACCCCCACCCCACCCACCCCACCCCACCCAGGCCAATCTCTTCCTACTCCACTCTCCACGCACAGTCATCGAGGAGAAGGGTGTGAAGCTCAAGCTGACAGTGACTGACACGCCTGGCTTTGGAGACCAGATCAACAATGACAAATGGTGGGTCCTTGACAGTGGGGGCCGAACCCTGGTTGCCCCTGCCCCTGCCCCTCCAGCCCCTGGGAAACATCCCAGCCCTGAAACACCTGACTGTGGCATCTTGGAGCCTCAGTCTATTCATCTGTATAATGGGTGCATGCAACCAGCCCTCCAAGATTGAAGGGAGTCAAGTACATAAAGGTCAGAGCTTCCTGCCTGGCACACAGTAGGTGTTCAGTCAAGGTTATGATATAGCAGAAGTTAGAAGCCCACACTACAGAGTCAGGACCACAGAGTTAGACCACTTTCCAGTTAGGTAACCTGGGACTGGTCATGGAAGCTCTCTGAGCCTCAGTTTCCTTCTTTGTAACTTGAGGGTGATGACACCCACCTTGCAGAGTCGTTCTAGGCTCTCAGTGACAAAACCCACGACAGTAGTTGGTCACACACACACACACACACACATGCACACACACAATCAGGACTGGATGCATAATTTGTGGGACCCAGTGACATGAAGATGTGGGACCCATTGTTCAAAAAGTATTACGAATTGTAAAACCTTGACCACAGGACATTGAATGAACTGCAAGCCCTTCAAAGCACGGAGCTCTGTGGAAATGGTCTGTTTGTGCTTGTATGAAGCCAGCCCTGCATACAATGCTTCATTGAGCACTCGCTTTGTGCCAGCCCTGTTCTAGACATGGGGATACAACAATGAACAAAACAGACGAACACCTCTGCCTACGTGAAATTTACATTGTCATGGGAAGGGGGGCTGAGCAATGAACACAACAAATCAGTTATACATAAGCTGGTCCTAAACTCTATCATTCAAGGAGGACATTTCTGAGAAGGGAAAGCATAGGGAGCTGTAGAGGGATTGCAACTTTAAGCAGAGTGATCATGAAAGACCTCCCGGATAAGGTGACACTTGGGTGGATTTCCAGGATATGAGAAAATGAGCATTGTGGACATGCAGGGGAAGAGTGTTCAAAGTGGATAGTGGCATGTGCCAAGGCCCTGCGGTGGGCAGAATGGTATGTTCATGGAAAGCTGGTGTGGCTGGAGGTGTGTGCATGGTAGGGAGAAACGAGGAGGGGAGGGCAGGCAGAAGAAACAGTGATATGCTGTAGGGCTTGGTAAGGCAGTGTAAGGACTTAGGCTTTTCTGTGGCCACTGTGGGCAGGCTGAGCAGAAAAGGGATGTACTCTGACTCCTGTTTTTAAAAGGATCTTAAAAAAAAAGCGGGGGTGGATGAGTCCTTTTGGCTGCTTGGTTGACAATAGCCTGGCAGGGGAAGGGACCCAGGGAGAGGACTCAGGAGATCCTTGCAGCAATGGCGTGAGTGCCCATGGTGGTTGGAACCCGGCTGTGGCGATTCATCTCTTTTAAGACCACGCCCCAACAAAGTAGGTGCTCTTATTCTCTCCATTTTATGAACGAGGAAGCCAAGGCCTCAGCTTGAGAACGGCAGGGGTCTCTCTGATAATTCAGGGGAGCGGAGGGAGGGTGATCAGGTAACCACAGGTCTCAGCTCGTACAGGAACGGAGGTCCTGTGTCCTGGGCCAACTGGGGCAATTGGTCTTCCGAAGGGGAGACCACCCAGAGGACCTGGGGAGATGGGTGAGGCTCCCAGGGGCGGCTCTGAGGTCGGGTCCGTCTGCCACCCCAGCTGGAACCCCATCCTGGGCTACATTAATGAACAGTACGAGCGGTACCTGCAGGAGGAGATCCTCATCACCCGCCAGCGCCACATCCCCGACACGCGGGTGCACTGCTGTGTGTACTTCGTGCCGCCTACTGGGCACTGGTAAAGGGCTGAGCCAGCTGGGGGAGGGACCCTGGCCTGGGGCAGAGAGGAGAAGGAGGAGTCCCTGGCCTGGGCTGCAGGCCGGCACCCCCTCATTCATCCACTGCCACCGCCTCCACTGTTGCTGCCCTGCCTGAGCAGCCTGCGGCCTCTGGACATTGAGTTCCTACAGCGGCTGTGCCGGACCGTGAACGTGGTGCCTGTGATTGCCCGGGCCGACAGCCTGACCCTTGAGGAGCGAGAGGCCTTCAGGCGCAGGGTGATCTGGGCGCCCGGGGTGATGGGGCCGGTGGGGGCAAGGAGGAGGCCAAGTGCACAGGATGAGATGAGGTCACCTGCGTCCCCAGATCCAGCACAACCTGAGGACTCACTGCATCGAGGTGTACCCACAGAAATGCTTTGACGAGGATATCAATGACAGGATCCTCAACAGCAAGATTCGGGTAGGAGGCCACGGGGTGGGGGTGGGGGGCAGGCTGGTGTGACCACGGCTGGGCGATTTGCTTTCCACCTGCTCTTTCTGTCTAAAGATTCATCTCCCTCTACAGCTTGGGGAAAGTTCACACACTTCTGACAGGTATGAATCTCCATACATACATAAACTCAAACATCAACAACCTACAGAAATGGGAGGGAGAAAAGGCTTGCAAATGGTTTATCTGATATGGGACTTGTATCCTGAACATAATAAAGAACCCTTACAAATTTAGAAATGGGCAAAGGTTTTGAATGACATTCCCTCAAAGAATTTGGACAAGAGGCCGATGAGCCCACGAAAAGATGTGGGTTCGACATTACCAGGGAAACGCAAAGCAAAACCACGAGGTACCGCTTCATACCCACTAGGGTGGCTGTTTGCAAAATGAAAGACAATCCCAAGTGTTGGTGAAGATGTGGAGAAGTTGAACTGGCAGGCAGACGCTGCTGACAGGAATGTCAAACGGTGCTCCCACTTTGGAAAATAGTCTAGCAGTTCCTCAAAAGGTTAAACGCTGAATTACCATGGTACCCAGCAGCAAGCCCACTCCCAAGAGAAATGAAAACCTATGTTCACATAAAAACGTGTACACAGATGTTCATGGCAGAAATACGTGTAATAGCCAAGGAGTGGAAATAAGCCAAATGTCTATTCACTTATGAATGACTAAATAAATACACGTGGTCTGTCTACACAATGGAGTGTCCTCCAGGTATAAAAACGGATGGATGTAGCACTGACACCTGCTGCAACACGGATGAACCTTGAAAACATGAAGCGCCTGGGTGGCTCAGTCGGTTGAGCATCCGGCTTTGGCTCAGGTCATGATCTTATGGTTTGTGAGTTCAAGCCCTGCATTGGGCTCTGTGCTGACGGCTCGGAGCCTGGAGCCTGCTCTGAATTCTGTGTCTTCCCCTGTCTCTGTTCCTCCCTACTCATGCTCTGTCTCTCTCTCTTCCTCTCTCTCTCTCTCTCCTTCCTCCTCCCTCTCTCTCAAAAATAAACAACAAAAAAAAAAAAAAAGAAAAGAAAAAAGAAAAGAGAAAAGAAAAGAAAACACGAAGCTCAGTGAGAAGCCAGACACAAGAGGACAAACATTACATGATTCCATTATATGAAACGTCGGAATAGGTAAATCGTATAGAGACAGAAAGTAGATTAGTGGTTGCCAGGAGCTGGGGGGGTCAGGAGCAGTGGGGAGTGACTGCTGATGGGTGTGGGGTGTCATTCTGGGGCAGTGAAAATGCCCTGGAGTTAGACTGTGGTGATGGCTGCACAGTCTTGTGAGCTGCACCTTTCAAAGGGTGAATTTTACGGTACGTGAATTACATCTCAGTAAAGCTGTTTCAAAAGAGAAGGAAAGAGGGAAATAGCTAACCTCTTCTTTTTCTCCTAATCAACTGAATTCCACCTCCAAGCCTCTACCTTGTCGTCCTGGTGGTTTGTCCAACGTCAGTCTGTCTGGATCCTGCAAAGGACTCAGGTGAGGGCTGAGATTCATCATGCATTGACCTCAGGCCTTGAATCACTCCCTCAGGGACCGTGTTAACCTGCACAGCGGTGCTGTTGCCTGGATTAGAAGCAAACAACTCTGCCTTCACAGACATGGCCCACATGTGATTTCAGCCCCACACAGATTCATGGCCAGTTCCCTTTGTGCAGTAAACAAACCACATCCGGACATGGCCCTGTTTCCCATCTCGGACCCAATGTCTCCACCATTCCCTCTTTCCCCTCCCCACTGGCACAATAAACAGGATCTCCTGTGAAACGTTCAAAGAGCCTTGACCTTGACCAGTTTCTTTCTGTCCTGAGGCCTGAGAAGGCAGCAGCGTGGCCGCAACTGACACAGACCTGAACATACTGACTCAACATCTCAGTAAATCGTCCAGACATCTAACATTTATTGAGGGTTTGCTCCAGGCTGGCGCAGGATAAGCGCAGAACAGATAATTATGATTGCCACCATTGATTACTATTCTTCATCACAAATTAACTCCTGGAAATAAAAGCAAACCCCTAAATAGCAGTTTGGAGTTCAGGAATTTGAGTCTCCACTTCCGGCCATGAGCAAGTGAACCACCAGAATTTTCAGCAGGGCTCAGCAAACTTTTTAGTGAAGGGCCACATGATGGTAAGTATGTTAGGCCTTGTGGGCCAACTGGTCTCAGTGCAATTACTCAACTCTGCTGTTGCAGCACGAAAGCAACCTAGACGTGAGTAAATGAATGCATGGGGCTGTATGCCAACAGACTTTATATGGGGAAACAGGAAGGAGCCTGATCTGGCCCATGTACCATAGGTTGCCAACCCCTGGGTTGCAAAGTCATGTCATTTAACCCTCTTGATAACTGATGAAGGTGATTGCAGGTCATCTCTTACCCAGGTAAGAGATGGGACATCCCTAAGATTATATTATTAATGTGGCTCTGAGTAACCTTCCCAAACATTCACAAAGCCCTGTGTATGTACTCTGCTGACTCCCATTTTACAGATGAGAAAACTGAGGCATTGATCAGACTTTTTTTTTTTTTTGAAAGATTTTATTTTTAAGTAATCTCTACACCCAACGTGGGGCTCGAACCCACAACCCTGAGATCAAGAGTCGCAGGCTCCAGCAACTGAGCTGGCCAGGTGCCCTGTGTCTTTTGACTTCAGATCTCTGTGCTCCTTCTACCACTGTCTCCCCACAAAGGACAGTGTGCCTCCCCCACCCCACCTCCGTGACTTCTCTACCCACCTCCTAGGCAGGGCCAACCCTTTTGTCTCCTCTCCTCCCGCAGGACCGGATCCCCTTTGCTGTGGTCGGGGCTGACCGACAGCACCTGGTGAACGGGAGGTGTGTCCTGGGCCGGAAGACCAAGTGGGGCATCATTGAAGGTCAGTGCAGGGACTCTGCAGAGAACGCAGGTGAGGGTGGGCTGAAAATCCAGGCGCATCCTGCTGCCTCCGGCACCCTCAACACTCATCACAGGGCCCAGAGTGGGCAAGCCCACAACCAGGAAGCAGACAGACCTGGAAATCAAGTCCCTCCTTGCAGCGGGGAGGACTCAGGCAAGTTACCTGACTCTCTGGGCCTCAGTTTCCTCACAGTAAAATGGGCATCAACCTCATGCATGGCCATTTGTGTCTGTGCAACCAACGAACTGCACATCTGTACATGGAAGGTGGTTGGACAGGGCAGGCCACTGCTTTGCATGATGCCCACCACCCAGAGGACACCCTATGCATTTGCCAGAATTTGTTGTGGGTCTTCTATGTGCCAGGCATACTCTATGCGCTTCCTCAGGGGATACACTGAAAGCAGGACAGACAAGGCTCCTGTCCCCAGAGAGCTGATGAGACAATGACAGGTGGGAGAAGGCGGGGCAGGAGGCTAAGCTACCTGAGGGGGTGGAGGGAGGCCTCTCGCTCCGCCGGTGGGGGGTGGGGGGGATGGGAAGTGAAGGAGGAGCAGCAAGGGTCTGGGCCCCCCATTTATCCACATAATCACTAAAATAATATAATATATATGGTATCATACACATACTGTACTGTAGTAATTATTAAGTGGACAATAATAAATGATTAGTGGATTCATTGACTCAAGTATTGGTAGCCTTCTGTACCAGGTGTGGGGGGCACAGCAATGAATAAATGGACGTGAGAAAAGACAGTGAGAAATGTGGGCGGAAAGGTTGCGGTGGATATCAGGGGTACACAGCATACAGTGGGCGCTTACTCGGTGCTCATGGAGGGCAAGGCAGGTGGACAGGGCCAGCGGTCTGGTTGTGTCTTGCAGTGGAGAACATGGCGCACTGTGAGTTTCCTCTGCTGAGAGACCTGCTCATCTGGTGAGGGTGCAGGGACCTCGGGGGGGCGGGGGACGCTGTGGCCAGCCTGGGCTCAACTGCCTCCCATCTCCCAGCTCCCACCTCCAAGACCTGAAGGACATCACCCACAACGTCCACTACGAGAACTATCGAGTTTGCAGACTCAACGAGAGCCACGTGCTGCCTCATGGGCCCTGCTGGGTGAACCTGGCCCCGACCCCACCAGGGCCCTCTGTCGCTCCCGGGCCCTCCAAGGTGTGCACGCAGGCACGCGAGGACTCTGACGACAACGAAGATGACTACTGAGCACGGGGGCGGGGGCGGGGCACCCGGCAGCCCCCAGCACGGGACTGTGTAGGAGAGGGTGTATTAAAGGCGGACGTTGCTTTTAATGAAAAGCTGTGCTTTGAAAACAAAAGGCGTTTTGTGAATGAGTTCTTTGAGCTATCCTCAAAATAAAGTACGGTTCTTTTAAAAATAACCGTGTGAGGGGCGCCTGGGTGGCTTAGTCCGACTTGGGCTCGGGTCATGATCTCGTGGTCCGTGAGTTGAGCCCCGCGTCGGGCTCTGTGCTGACAGCTGGGAGCCTGGAGCCTGTTTCCGATTTTGTGTCTCCCTCTCTCTCTGCCCCTCATCTAATCATGCTCCTTCTCTCCATGTCTCAAAAATAAATAAAACGTTTAAAAAATTTTTTAAATAAATAAAATAAAATAAAATAACCGCGTGAGACCCAAGGCCCTCGGGGATCCTGAGGACCCGGGAGCTCATGCCTTGGACGACCGGCCACTCCTGCCCCATTCCAAATGAGGCTCTGCTGTCACTGCCGACCCTCCTTCCTGGCACAGGGTCAGGCCCTGTCTCGTAAACACTTACCAGTTCCCCGTCTTCAGCTCTCGTCCCCAAGCTCTGTGCTCCCCGCTCCTGTCTGCCTCTCTGCCCTGCCCTGGCCGACCAGCGGCGGGGAGAAGATTGTCCTCTCAGCTCACGCAGGGAGAGGAAATCCATTCTTCTTCTGCCCTTTAGCTCTTCTAGAGACCTCAGCAGATGGGGTGATGCCCACCTAGTACTGGGGAGGGAGATCCTCTTTACTCAGTCTACTGAATCAATGCTAATCTCTTCCGGAGACATTCTCACAGATGCACCCAGAAATTATGTTTTACCAGCAATCTGGCCATCCCTCAGCCCAGTCAGGTCGACACTTAAAAAAATTTTTTTTAATGTTCGTTTTCATTTCTGAGAGAGACAGCACATGAGCGGGGGAGGGCCAGAGAGAGAGGGAGACACAGAATCTGAAGCAGGCCCCAGGGTCTGAGCTGTCGGCACAGAGACCAACGTGGGGCTCAAACTCACCAACTGTGAGATCATGACCTGAGCCGAACCTGGACGCTTGACCAACTGAGCCACCCAGGCGCCCCTCAGTCAAGTTGACACTTAAAACTAACCATCACATGAGCTACAAGTTGCCTCCTGCATGATGCCCTCCTTGGCTTCCCAAGTCTGACGTATTCACTGCCCGACGTACTCTGTATGTATCTCATGGTTTCTTTTCAGGTCAGTGTCCCTATCGGGCTGGGACCTCAGTGAGGATGGAGATCTATCAGACAAGAGCTCAGTACCCAGCTGTTAAATGAATGACCCTTGGAGCCCCTGCCTCAGCTATTAACCCCTCAAATTCACAAACCTACCTACCAGGCTTGAGGATCTCCCAGGGCCTGTGGGGACCCACACCTAGCACGCCAACATCTCAGAGGCAGTGTGCTGCTACATAGGGGCCGAGCACATTCCTAGGGTTAATATTAGCCCTGGGCAATAGGGCAATGTCTACAGCACACACCCTTTGGCTCAGCAGTTGTATTTAGACATTGTAATCAGAAATTCTATCTCTAGGAACAGATCTTAGGGATAGACCAGAGTTTCTCAACCTTAGCACTGCGGATGTTTGAGGCTGGGGCATTCTTTGTTGTGGGGCTGTTCCATGCATTATAGGATGTTTAGCCCTGGGCCTCCACCACTGGATGCCAGTAGCAACGTCCCTCCTGCCGTGACATCAAAAATGTCTCCTGAGGCACCTGGGTGGCTCATTCAGTGGGGTGGAGTGTCTGGCTGTTGATTTTGGCTCAGATCATGATCCTAGGGTCATGAGATCAAGTCCTGCATCAGGCTCTGTGCTGAACTTAGAGCCTGCTTAAGATTCTCTCTCTCCCTCTGCCCCTCATCCCTGCTCATGCTTGCTCTCTCTCTCTCTCTTAAATAATAATAATAATAATAATAATAATGACGATAATGTCTCTAAACATTATTCACTGACCCCCTGGAGACACAGTCTCCCCTTTTGAGAACCACGGCTCCTGGCACCCAGTATAGTAAAGACAGAAAGCAGCCTACCCGTCTGCCAGGAGTGGGCCAGGAAGTAAATCATGGGGCATTCACACCACATGCACTCGTTTGTTATGGCTGCTGTAACAAATTACCACCAACTGGAAAGGCTAAATTTTTTTCAGTGTTTATTTTTGAGAGAGAGAGAGACAGAGTATGAACTGGGGATGGGCAGAGAGAGGAGACAGAGAATCCGAAGCAGGCTCCAGGCTCCAAGCTATCAGCACAGAGTCGCACACGGGGCTCGAACCCACGAACCATGAGATCGTGACGTGAGCCGAAGTCGGATGCTCAACCGACTGAGCCCCCCAGGCGCCCCTGGAAGGCTTAAACAACACACGTTTACTTTCTCACGGTTCAGGAGGACAGAAGTCTGAAATCAATACGGAGGTGGCAGCAGGGTGGTGCTGGGGGGAAATCCATTTCCCTGCCTTTCCCCAGCTTCTAGAGACTGCATTCCTGGGCTTACGGCCCCTCCCCTTTCTTGATGCAGGTGCCATGTGCCTTCTGGAGTCAAATTTCCCTCTACCGCTGTTTTGTGAGGACACCTGGGACTATACTGGGCCTGCTGCGATAATCTGTGATAATCTCCCCTCCTCAACATGCTTTTTTTTTTTTTTTTAATATTTGTTTTGCTTTGTTTTTGAGAGACAGAGACAGAGTGCAAGCATGGGAGGGGCAGAGAGAGAGAGGGAGACACAGAATCTGAACCAGGTTTCAGGCTCTGAGCTGTCAGTACAGAGCCTGACGTGGAGCTGGAACTCACGAACAGTGAGATCGTGACCTGAGCAGAAGTCGGACGCTCAACTGACTGAGCCACCCAGGTGTCCCAGCATTCTTTTTTTGTTGTTGTTAACTTGTAAGTATTTTGAGAAAGAGCGTGCGTGTGAGTGGGAGAGGGGCAGAGAGAGGCAGAGAGAGGAAGAATCCCAAGCAGGCTCTGCACCATCAGCTCAGAGCCCAGCACAGGGCTCAACCCCATGAACCCTGAGATTATGACCTGAACACCTAAGCCGAAATCAAGAGTCAGGCACCCAGCTGACTGAGCCACCCAGGCCAGGCCGAATACCGTTCAACATTATTAATTTAATCATATATGCAAAGTCCTTTTTGTCATAGAAGGTAACATACTTAACATATTTATAAGTTTTGGAGGAGGGACTGGATATTTTGGGGCGTGGGGGGGGTATTCTTCAGCCATCACAGCATAGAATATAATATGGTCCTTGGGAGAGAGGCAGAGAGAGAGAGATTCCTAAGCAGACTCCACGCTGTCAGCGCAGAGCAGGATACAGGGCTCGATCACAAGAACCGTGGCCTGAGCCGAAATCAAGAGTTGGATGCCTAACCGGCTGAGCCACCCAGGCGCCCCTAAAAGAACAGATCTTAAATGTTCTAACCACATTCAAAAAAAGATAACTATGGGAGGTGACAGATGTGCTATCTAACTTTATTGTGGTGATCATTTTACAATATATATGTGCATCAAATCATTGTGTTGTATACCTTAAACTTGCACAATGTAGTCAATTATATCTCAATAAAACTGGAAGAAAAACAATTGAGGCTGTGCTATAATCACCCAGTGTTCATTCTTTGCACAGATTTTTAGGGCCCACTATATGATGCTAAAGAGGCTAAGGGTTCAAGAGGGAAGAAACCAACTCACTGCCCTCAGGAGCCTGCACCTAGGTGGGTCAAGATGCAAATAAACAAAACAAAGAAGTAAAATGTGGGCATGTTGAATAGTGATGGGTACCCTGGATGGGTACCCTGATACCAAGGATGGCATTTAAGGGATATAGGGCCATCTAGGGTTTACAATTGCAGGAAGGGGTCAGGGACGCCTCACTGGGAAGAGAAGTTTGAGTAAAGATGTGAAAGAGCAAAGAAAAAGCCATGAAGATATCTAGGGTCCTAGCATTCCACACAGACGGAAAAGAAGCCACTGCTAGAGCAAAGGCCCTGGGGCAGGAGTATGTTAAATGTGTTCATGGAAGAGCAAAGAGGCCTCTGTGGCTGGAGCAGCATGAACCAGAAGAGAGGGAGAGAGTAGGGGGGAAGTGAGGACAGAGAGGTGGCGAAGGGCGGGCCCACAGTCTGTCGAATTTGAGTTGCCCATCATGACTCTGTACGGATACAGACTGATTGCCTAAGGATGTTGATGAGAGGAAAACAAGGAGCAATAGAGGGTATAGCGGAAGGCAGCTCATGGGGCATGAGTATCTCCATAAAGTACTGAAGACTGGAACAGATGGTTGCTTCTGGGGAGGTCACTTGCCCTAGAGGTCAAGAATGGGAAGGAGATTTAATTTTTACTCTGTCTCCTTTTGTACTGGCTTGTTAACAGGGGCGTATATCACCTACTTGGAAAACATCAATACATTTATAATATTAGCTCTTGTCCCTTCCCTGAAAGTTAGGATCTACTGCAACCAGGGTCACCAGTGGGCGGGCGCTGGTGGAACGCTATTAGCCTGGCTCCACCGACCCCTTCCCGGAGGCTCTCCTGCAGGGTCCCTCAGGCTCCAACCACCTGCTCTCACGCATTCTCATGCATCCTGTCCTTGCGTGTTCACTGGGGCAATCTTCTTCTTTGGCCGGGGAGGGGTATTCCAGTGTTGATATTTTGCAGAGTGTTGGTTCCTGCTCCCGGTCGATGACTTTATCTCCACTTGTGGAAGCCTATGCCATGCTCTGGCTCTTTAATTTTTTTAAAATTATTTTTTAAACCTTTTTAATGTTTATTATTTTTGAGAGAAAGAGAGAGCAAGCAGGGGAGGGGCAGAGAGAGAGGGAGACACAGAATTTGAATGAGGCTCCAGGCTCTGAGCTGTCAGCCCAGAGCCTGACACGGGGCTTGAACTCACAGAGTGCAAGACCATGACCTGAGCTGAAGTCAGCCACTTAACTGACTGAGCCACCCAGGTGCCCCAAGCTTTGGCTCTTTTCAACTGCAGGACCTAGGACAAGTCACCTGACATCCAGGAATAAATTTCCTCCTGTGCGAAATGGGAATAGCAACACCAACCTCCTACCTCAGGGTTGTGTGGGGATAAATTGTTTTGTTTTGTAGGTGTCTGGGGGCGCGGAGAGAGGGGGTTC